AAAATACATTATTCCGCCGGGCGCGGTGGCTCAAGCCTGTAATCCCAGCACTTTGGGAGGCAGAGGCGGGTGGATCACGAGGTCGAGAGTTCGAGACCATCCTGGTCGACATGGTGAAACCCCGTCTCTACTAAAAATACAAAAAATCAGCTGGGCATGGTGGCGCGTGCCTGTAATCCCAGCTACTCAGGAGGCTGAGGCAGGAGAATTGCCTGAACCCAGGAGGCGGAGGTTGCGGTGAGCAGAGATCGCACCATTGCACTCCAGCCTGGGTAACGAGCGAAACTCCGTCTCAAAAAAAAACAAAAACAAAAACATTATTCCACATGATTGACAACATTTGGAATTATCTACACGTGCAAGAATGGTGGGAGGGTCAGTTTGTATACTCCATTGGGACTTTGTGGCAATCTTAAAGTTGCTCAGAATCTAACACAGCAAGTTTTCTCTAATGTATAGAGAATTTACTATGCATAGGCATTTGGGGACTTAAAGTATGATTAAAGCAGCATTTTCCGTAAGAACAAAACACAGCAGCCAGGCATGGTGGCTCATGACTGTAATCCCAGAACTCTGGGAGGACGAGGCAGGCGGATCACCTGAGTTCGGGATTTTGAGACCAGGTGACCAACATGGAGAAACCCTGTCTCTACTAAAAAACAACAACAAAATTAGCTGGACATGGTGCATGCCCGTAATCCCAGCTACTAAAGAGGCTGAGGCAGGAGAATTGCTTGAACCCGGAAGGTGGAGGTTGAGGTGAGCTGAGATGGTGCCACTGCACTCCAGCCTGGGCAAAAGAGCAAAACTCCGCCTCAAAACAAAAAAAAAGCGTGCACACACAAACCAACTAGAAAGGTCAAGCAAATTGGGTAGCTCAAGCCTCAGACACCAGCATATGTTGAAACAACTGGAGGAAAACACCAAGGATACACCTATTTCCATTATTTCCTTTCACAGAAAGTGCAAAAGAGGCAAGCCTAAGCAAAACATTGGTGATAAAATAATGGCATAGCTATAAAGAATATCCACAAAACTATGGGCAGTGGTCACCTCTGGAGACAGGAGGAAACCAAAGTCACGGTGAAGCAGCACTGGAGATAGGACATACTCAAGGTCCATTCATTCTGTGAGTGCCCAGGCTACAGAATTGTATAATTTTATAGTTAGGTTTAAACATAAAACATTCTATGCATTCTATAATGAGAGATATATATATATTATTTTTTATGTGTGTTAGACGGAGTTTCACTCTGTTGCCCAGGCTGGAATGTAGGGGCGCGGTCTCAGCTTACTGCAAGCTTGGCCTCCTGGGTTCAAGTGATTCTCCTGCCTCAGCCTCCCAAGTAGCTAGGATTAAGGGCATGCACTACCACACCTGGCTAACTTTGCATTTTTAGTAAAGATGGGGTTTGTCCATGTTGGTTAGGCTGATCTTGAAATCACAACCTCAGGTGATCCGCCCACCTCGGCCTCCCAAAGTGCTGGGATTACAGGCATGAGCCACTGCACCCGGCCAGTATGCTATATTTCACTACAAAAATATAATTCAGCTCGGTGTGTTGGCGCATGCCAAGGCAGGACATTCACTTAAGGCTAGGAGTTCAAGAACAATCTGGGCAACACAGTAAGACCCCTATCTCTACCAATAAAATAAAATGTCTTTTAAATATAAATATGTAATTCTTTTAAAGCATGAAAAATCTTTTTTTTTTTTTTTTTTTTTTTTTTTTTTTTTTTGAGACGATGGAGTCTCACGTTGTTGCCTAGGCTGGAGTGCAGTGGTGCTATCTTGGCTCCCTATAACCTGTGCCTCCCAGGTGCAAGCCATTCTCCTACCTCAGCCTCCTGAGTAGCTGGGATTACAGGTGCCCACCACCATACCTGGCTAATTGTATTATTAGTAGAGATGGGGTTTCACTATGTTGGCCAGGCTGGTCTCGAACTCTTGATCTCATGATCCGCTCGCCTCAGCCTCCCAAAGTGTTGTTATTACAGGCGTGAGCCACCACACCTGGCCAATAATTTTCAAATATTTATTTTGCCATGTTTTCTAACTACCTCCTCAGTTCTTATTTCACTGCCTTAGTTCAGCGCAGATTTTTAAGTCTCTTAGACTGCACCTATTGCTTTTCACCTTGATTTCAGCAAGCAATGACTGGTAAAAGAATGGGAACATACTCAATGTTTATTTAGAGAGAACTGGCTACATAAACTTCCATCTTTTAAAAAATGTATTTATTAAAAATATTTTAGGGGAGACAGGTTATCTCTGTTGCCCAAGCTGCAAGTATAGTAGCACATAGTTCACTGCAGCCTTGAAGTCCTGGGTTCAAGTGATCCTCCCACCTCAGCCTCCCAAGTAGCTGAGACTACAGGAATGTGAGCCGCCACAACTGGCTCAACTTCATCATCTTGGGAACCTTTATAAGAATTAGGGAAGGCACTAGTGGATATGAAAAAAGCTGCGGGATTTATTTTCAAATGAACAAAAAAGCAAAGTCTGTAAACCATGTTGCCTTTTATAGCGATAAAAGAAAAATATGTAGTTTAAATTGCTTTTTATGTGAATGCTGAACAGACAAGAAAAAATTGTTATCTTTGGGAACCTGAGGCCACTAGACATGAATGCTAGAGGACATGCTAGGAGTGAGCCTTCAGGTAGACTACTTCTAAATCTCAGGCTGAGGTGTGTGTATGTACAGAGACAAGATCTCGCCATGTTTCCCAGGCTGGTCTAGAACTCCTGGCCTCAAACGATCCTTTGGCCTTGGCCTCCCAAACATATATGAGTCACTGTGCCCAGCCTCAGGTTGAATTTTTGAATCCTGACATTCACTATAAACGATTATTAAAGAAAATTTGCATTAACTATATTTTAATAGCTCATAAATCAAATGACTTTTAACAGGAAACCATTTCTCTGTTACAGTCCTCTAAAGAAGTAGTTTTGTAAAGTGAGAAATACGTTTTTACAAACCATAAAATACTGTTTTGCACATAAAGATGGGAGCAGTGGACACTGGGGAGTGCTGGAGAGGGGAGGGGTGGTGGAGAGTGAGGGCTGAGGGACTGCCTGTGGGGTGCTGTGCTCACTGCCAGGATGACCAGATCACCCACAGCCCAAACCTCAGTGTCACAGTGTTCCCACTGATAGAACTGTACATCTGCCCCTTGAATCTAAAATGAAATTATTAAGAAATAGAAATGTATATTTTTGTGATATGATTCCTGATGTTCATGAGATGTGGGTTTGTATATTCCATCCCAGGAATCTTTAAAAAGTAAATGTTAACAAAAAATCTTTTTATCACTTGAGCTCAGTGGTTCAAGACCAGCCAGGGCAACAAAGTAAAACCCCATGTCTAAAAAAAATAAAAGAAATGAAAAAAATAATTTTAAACATTTGGTTCGTAAATAAAATTACAAGTGATATTTCAGGTTGTACCGCCATCATATATCAACCTGCAGGGCATTTTTTGATATGGGCAGAATATTATGGCATTAGGATTGCATAACAGCATGAGGAGCTTCACTAATCCATTCCCTAGCAAAACGTGACAGTTACTTTACAACAACCATTTAAAACCCCTGGAAATCATCCTAAAGGCAAACGGCCAGTGAGGAAACCTATTCAAGAGAATCTGTGAAAATTCTGTGAGAAATGTGAGTTTGTGGTATTTAAACCCTTACTGTTCCCTGATCCTGCAACCCCCCCATCCTTGCCTCAGTAAGGTGAACACTTCACTCCAGACTGTGTAGCCAACGACACAAGGTCCTCTGTTTCCCCAGTGTAAGAGTTAGAGGAAAGAGGCCGAGCGCAATGGCTCATGTCTGTAATCTTATCACTTTGGGAGGCCGAGGTGGGCAGATTGTCTGAGCTCAGGAGTTCAAGACCAGCCTGGGCAACACAGTAAAACCCCATCTCTATTAAAATAAAAAAATTAGCCAAGTGTGGTGGGGTGCACCTATAATCCCAGCTACTCAGGAGGCTGAGACAGGAGAAGCACTTGAACCTGGGAGGCAGATGTTGCAGTGAGCAGAGATTGCAGCACTGAACTCCAGCCTGGGTGACAGAGTGAGACTCTGTTTAAAAAAAAAAAAAAGCAAGAAACACAAAACATGGCTTGACTGTCAAAGACAGGTTTATTTTACAAAAATACCTGAGGGGCTTCTGGCCGATTTTTTTTGGTCAGGAGTGTTTTCTCTTACAGATTAAGAATATATATTGGTTTCAGGGTGAGGGGGCTTATTATGAGTTTGGAATGTTTCTGTGTTGGGGAGAAGTTTGTAGTGGGGTTGTAAAGTCTCCGGGCAGAGGGGAGGTTATCTTGGGGCTGACATCTTTCCAGCAGGAGAGGGGTTTTTCTGAGGCTGGCATGTCTCTGGGGAGGAGTTTGGAGTATTTCTGGTTGCAGATGTTATCTGTGGTTTATGGTCATGCTGACTTAGCCATTGGGCTTGTGCCCTTTGGATTTAGGCGGTTTTTGATTAAGATGACTTTTAAAATGAAGTGATTGTCTATGATAGCAATGCTCCTGCTCTGTCAATCCAGACCCTATAGTTAAAGGACAAGGGGTGGCATGTTCTTTCTGGCTACTTCCTGATGTCAAAGGGACAGAGAGTTCTCTGGTTTCGGGTTGACTGTAGGAGCAATACCATCTATAGATGTTTTTGGGTAGCTGTCTGTGAAATCGCCATGATCCTGTCAGATTTTTTAATCTTTGGTAACAGTTAATTAGGCAGGGTAAGAACAATAGTCCCAGGCATATTATTAGGACAAGGCTGAGGAATGGGATAACCCATGCTATGATTTTGTTCCCAAACCAAGAATCTATTTGGGGTTGTTTTGGTACTCCCTTAACTTTTTAGCCCTTTTTAAAAAGTTTTTTAGCAGCACTTTCTATTAGGCCAGATTTGCTGATTAGAGAAACAACATACCTTACCTAATGAGAGGCAGAGGCACAGGTTTGGAAAGGCCCCTGTGTTGTTTTCTGTTAGTAACCATTATTTCTGCTATGAGGATAATAATTAAAATGCTATGGTAATTGAGATTCTCTGTCTGCTGTTTTACCCTGAGGGTGCTACTGCAGACAGTAGAGTGAATAAAGCAATTCCACACGGGTGGTGTAGTAAATAATTTCCATCAAAAGGTTTTAATATTTGGCTTAAAAGGAGAGACAGAAATGACAAGTATTTGCTGAGGAAGGGATGAGACTGAGTAGGATATTTCTCACTGGGTTACTTACTTATTAGGATTTTTAGCTTAAGAGTTTCTACTTATTTCTTCCTGTGAGGGTTAGGGGGCTTAGGGACAGCACCAGCTTAAACACCTAGTTTTCAGTTTATAGGACTTTTAGAAGGCACAGCATATTTTGGAAACTTGTAGCCAGAAAAATTAGAATTTAACTTGAACAGAAAATAGTAAAAATTAAAAAACATTAGACAACACTGGAATTTAAGAACAGATATGCTATAGTTTTTGAAACATTTTCTCTCTCCAGTTTACCATTTTCATTAAAAGACAAATCGTAATGAAGCAGGAGCAGCCTCGAGAAACAGACCTCTTGAACACCAAACTGGGAAGGAAAGGGTGATTTATTTGGCTAGGTGCAAGGTGGCATAGTTGCCTAACAGCCAAGCTTGAGCTTGGAAGAGAAAGTCCCTGCCATTTTAAAGGCTACACCTCTAGAAGTTACAGGTGAAAGGACCTTGGGCTTACAACTCTAGAATTTACATGTGAAAGGGTCTTGGGCCCTGGAGTAGGCATGGAGTATAGTGACTTAGGTGGGGGTTTGATCAGGTTTAAGTAAAAACAATGCCTTCCAGAAAGATTCCTCCACGCCATGCCTGTGATCTACAGGAAGGCAATTAAGGTGGCGCCCAGTCTGCCAGCCTTTACTTCTCCTATTGAAATGCAGGGTGGAAGTCAAGGGTGGGGATGGTCTTAGATGCTTAAGGATGATTAAGGTCTCCTCCCTCACTCCCCTCTTTGAGAATTTCGCCTATAACATTAGTGAGAATTCTCACTCTCATTCTCATTTTCATGATCCTCTGAAGAAACTGATTGATAATGATACATATATTTGTGATGTGGTTCTCTGGTCTATTACAGCAGTGAAGAATTTCTCTAATCATCTGAAGGAACAGGGGAAGTAAACAAGGAAGTAGCAAGCAAACACCTATTATTATTACAACACTTAAGATGAGAGTCTTGAATCCTTCTAAAGATGAGAACCAACCTCCAAACAAGGACTCAGGGTTAAATTCGTGCCATACCTGCAGAGGCTCGTGTGCCAGTTTGGTCATGTCTCTTGCAATGTCCTCCACTGCTTGACCCTGGTCATCTGTGTGTAGGCAGCAGTTGGTTAGACTGAATCTTCCACAGACTCCTTCAGCTGCTAGCAAATAATCTAAGGCCAGCCGCTTCTGATAAATCGCATTTCACATTTGAGTTTCTTGTCAGGCCAAATGGACAGAGCTTTGCGTGTTTCATTAAGGAGTATTTCCAAGGCAGCCTGCAACGGGATGATCTGATTGAGCTGATTGAGACAGGAATCTGGTGTCCTCATGAGCCATCCTCTGCCCATGTGGCCGGCCCATAACACTTAATTCTTTCAGGTGGCCACTCATTATCTTCCCATTCACCTATCTTTAGACTTCTCTTCTCCCAGGTGGAGTAGACTGGATGTTCTAACAGCTTACCCGTCTTGGCAGACAATAGAAAAAGGCAGGCTTAATATGATGCCTTTGACCCAGCTACCTCTCCATCTTTTAGGCAGCTGTACATACGCTCTTTTACATAACTTTGTTCCCATCCAAGGGAACCACAGCCCCCTCCCCACCGAAATGATAGGCATTTATGGCTGTACAGGCATCAAACCTTAGGGTGACCTATTTTGGGCTTCCCTTTCCTCTGTTTTAGCTATTAACTTAGTAGGGCTTGCCGGGCGTGGTGGCTCAAGCCTGTAATCCCAGCACTTTGGGAGGCTGAGGTGGGTGGATCACGAGGTTGAGAGATCGAGACCATCCTGGTCAACATGGTGAAACCCCGTCTCTACTAAAAATACAAAAAATCAGCTGGGCATGGTGGCACGTGCCTGTAATCTCAGCTACTCAGGAGGCTGAGGCAGGAGAATTGCCTGAACCCAGGAGGCGGAGGTTGCGGTGAGCCGAGATAGTGCCATTGCACTCCAGCCTGGGTAATAAGAGCGAAACTCTGTCTCAAAAAAAAAAAAAAAAAAAAAAAACTTAGTAGGGCTGTTTATAGCCCTGTTAGGAGTTGGATTTCAGAAGTCGTATGTGTAGGGGGCTCTGATGGATCGTAGCAGACATCAGGCTGTCTGTGATCTACAGGAGGGCAATTAAGGTGGCGCTGGGTCTGCCAGCCTTTACTTCTTCTATTGAAATGCAGGGTGGAAGTCAAGGGTGGGGATGGTCTTAGATGCTTAAGGATGATTAAGGTCTCCTCCCTCACTCCCCCTTTTGAGAATTTCGCATATAACATTAGTGAGAATTCTCACTCTCATTCTCATTTTCATGATCCTCTGAAGAAACTGATTGATAATGATGCATATATTTGTGATGTGGTTCTCTGAATTACACACCTTATACTGAGTACCATTATATTAACGGGTTCCCTTCTGTGTCCCTGCATATTCATAACTGCAGAACAAAAGAATGGCAGTAACTTTACGTCCTACCTCAGTAACCTAGTGCAAACAGAGAGCATCCTCCAAAATCAGTTAATGTCCCTACTGTGCAAGTCCAAATATTAAGAAGTAGTCCCATGAACTTCCTCATGCTTCAGTCATACTGTAGGGGTGAGCAATTAGACTGGGCAGCTCTCCAGGAGCCCCCCTTTTCCCCATCCTTTTTCGGGTGCTCAATAGCGGCAGCTATCAAGTTGGCATTTTTTTTTTTTTTTTTTTTTTTTTTGAGATGGAGTTTCACTCTTGTTACCCAGGCTGGTGTGCAATGCATGATCTAGGCTCACTGCAACCTCCTGCCTCATGGGTTCAGGCAATTCTCCTGCCTCAGCCTTCTGAGTAGCTGGGATTACAGGCACGTGCCACCATGCCCAGCTAAGTTTTTGTATTTTTAGTAGAGACAGGGTTTCACCATGTTGACCAGGATGGTCTCGATCTCTTGACCTCGTGATCCACCCACCTCGACCTCCCAAAGTACTGGGATTACAGGCTTGAGCCACCGCGCCCAGCCAGAAAGTGTCATTCTTTATTTACCACACATCAGAAACCCATACCGGGACTGTGTACACAAAATCTGAGGCTAGCTTTTCAAGAACTTTATTGACTCCCTGAGTCTAATTTGATTGCTTAAAGGTTAGCAAACCATTTCAGTTAAAGCCTTGGTAAAATAACCAGTTTTTCCAGTTGTATCCTGTTACAAAAGAAAACAGATTCTTATTGTACTTATGCAAATAACTATGCTACCATAACTTAAGAATACTTATAGATAGTTTCTAAATTCTGGAGAAAATCAGGTAGAGAGAAACAAGTATGCTCCTATACTTAATTGTTAAAAGCTGTCAATAGCTCAAAAACATCTTGGACTTTGAAAAGCAAAACAAACGATTAGCAATATTTTAAGCAATACACTAAAAAGGTCACTCCAGGCCGGGTGCAGTGGCTCACGTCTGTAATCCCAGGACTTTGGTAGGCCAAGGTGGGTGGATCACCTGAGGTTCTGAGTTCAAGACCAGGCTGGCCAATGTTGGGTACCAGCCCAACCCTGTTCGTGGGTGCCCTTTAGTCCTGGCAGTGATGAGAGATTGAGAAACGGAATTAAAGACAAAGACCCAAGAGTAGAATTTTACAGCATGGGTAACACAAGCGTGGGGACTGCACTGACCCCAAGTTCTCGTTTTCATAGGCTTTTATTAGGTGCACACACTTGTTAATTGAGGGGTGGGGGAGCAGGGAAGGTGATCAGGGGAGGCCTTGAGACTATTGTAGAAGGCCTTGAAACTAATGTGGATCAAGATAGCCAGGGGGAGAGGTGTGGTCTGCAGTATTCAGTAGCAGATGTGATTCTTAGGCAAAGCTAGAACACTGAATTCTACCAAGTTGTATTTGCATCAGAAGCACAGTGGATAAGGCACCTTATCTACCAGGTCTGACCACACCCAATGCATCAAAGGGCTTTTTATCTTCCAAGCATTTTGGACACAGAACAATCAAAATTACTCCATATTCTGAGAGAGCCTGTGTTCCAGTATCTCTGCCCTGCAAGGCTTTTCTTCCTTGCAAGCTCCCATCTGCAAAGATTCTCCTGGATCTTGTGAGCAGAGGTTACCTTTCTTCTCAGAGATCTTACATGAGCCCTCTTTACAAGACCTTCATGCCACCTCCATGTTGAAAAGGCATTCATGGGACCAAAGCAGTATTTCCTGCTCTGCAACCACCTCGTGGTGTTCACGGTTTTACAGCGCTCTCAGATGGTCTTTACCTTAGGCCTCCTGTTGCCACTTGATTTCTGTTTTACTGCATCAATATTTGATATAGCTTACTTTGGGGTATAAACTTAAGTGTGCAATAAGCAAAGCAAGCTTATAATTACTTAACTAGAAATAACATAGGTTTGTCCCTGGCCATCTTGACCCACAGGCCAACATGGTGAAACCCCATCTCTACTAAAAATACAAAAATTAGCCAGGTGTGGTGGCACGTGCCTGTAATCCCAGCTACTTGGGAGGCTGAGACAGAATTGCTTGAACTGAGGAGGTGGAGGTGGCAGTGAGCCAAGATTGCACCACTGCACTCCAGCCTGGGCTACAGAGCAAGACTCCGTCTCAAAAAAAAAAAAAAAAAAAAAAATCACTCCAATCTCCTGTAGTTTAGTTCATGCAGTTAATTCCTGTTCTGATGGATATTACCATTTTAGCATTTTAAGACTTCTGAACGTTTTTCCTCTATTCTGATGTCATCATTTTCAAAGTTATCAGAAACCTGCATTCAAGAGCACCTGTCAGAGCTTTATAGCTGATTATAAAACTACCTTTTTAAAGAGGACCAAAACAAGACAACAATTGTTTATGGATGACAAAAAGTTTTAGGACAGGCCAGGTGTGGTGGTTCACACCTGTAATCCCAGCACTTTAGGAAGCCCAGGCAGGCAGATCACTTGAGGTCAGGAGTTTGAGACCAGCCTGGCCAATACAGTGATATCCCATCTCCACTAAAAATACAAAAATTAGCTGGTCGTGCTGGCAGGTGCCTGTAATTCCAGTTACTGTGGAGGCTGAGGCAGGAGGATCACTTGAACCCAGGAAGTAGAGGTTGCAGTGAGCCGAGACTGTGCCATTGCACTCCAGCCTGGGCAACAAGAGCAAAAATCCTTTAAAAAAGAAAAAAGTGGCCAGGCGTGGTGGCTCAAGCCTATAATCCCAGCACTTTGGGAGACCAAGGCGGGTGGATCACGAGGTCAAGAGATCGAGACCATCCTGGTCAACATGGTGAAACCCCGTCTCTACTAAAAATACAAAAAATTAGCTGGGCATGGTGGTGCGTGCCTGTAATCCCAGCTACTCAGGAGGCTGAGGCAGAAGAATTGCCTGAACCCAGGAGGCGGAGGTTGCGGTGAGCCGAGATCGCACCATTGCACTCCAGCCTGGGTAATAAGAGCGAAACTCTGTCTCCAAAAAAAAAAAAAAAAAAGTTTTAGGATAGCTATAAAGACACAATTGAGAAGGATATGTGTTCCTCTGTGGCACACAATATTTTTAACCTAACAATTAGTATATACTAAGATATATGAGAATTATAGGAATCTCCCATAAGTTTGGAACACATATGTATTTACACAACTATAGCCCAAAGAAAGACAAACACCAGTTTGTATTTAACAATGCTTCCTGTATGATTTTATACCAAATAAGCCAAATTTTACCTTTATATTAGTGTGCTATTAAACTCCATTTTTAATAAAACCATGTAGATGCATTTACCAAATTTTAATGTTTGACCAAAAGGTAAGATTTTTATAGACACTTTTAATCCTTTACAATTTTTGTTAAAAAGCAGCTTAGTGCTTTAAGAGAAACCCATTGTGCTTTTTTTTTTTTTTTTTTTTTTTGAGATGGCGTTTCGCTCTTGTTGCCCAGGCTGGAGTGCAATGGCACAATCTCGGTTTACTGCTACCTCCACCTCCCAGGTTCAAGCGATTCTCCTGCCTCAGCCTCCCAAGTAGATAGGATTACAGGCATGCACTACCGTGCCTAATTTTGTATTTTTAGTAGAGACGGGGTTTCTCCATGCTGGTCAGGCCGGTCTCAAACTCCCAACCTCAGGTTATACATTCACCTCAGCCTCCCAAAGTGGTGGCATTACAGGCATGAGCCACTGCACCCCTGTGCTTTTATTTTAATGCTCAATTTACAGAAAAACTGGATAACACCCTTGAACTTTAGCCAGTATGTTTACACACAGAAATTCCTTTACAATTAACCTTCCAAAACTTGCTTAAACCTTGAAAACAATTCTGTAACCTTTTAATATAG